TCATTTTTTAAAAATAATAAATATAGTATATATATAATGAAAATGTTTCATTTTACAGGGAATATAAGCAAACTTTTAATATATAAAGTAAACCATTTTTGTTTTTTATTCTAATTGTATTTTACAGGGTATACAAAAATTATTTTTCGAATACCCCACAATAAACACTTAATATCATATGATTAGTGACCAATTTATATCCTGTAAGGCAAGCAGACATATTAAATGAATAACATAATATGATTTGCCGCCCCAAATAACCCCAACTTTACAGGGTATTGGTAAATAAATCTCACATCATTAGTCTGCCTATTTTTTTTTAGTAATATTATCAATGGCCAAGTGGCCCAACTAACCTAATACCCTGCCCACATATCAAGTGGCCTCTCCTTGCGATTCTCACGGGGCATGCGCAGGGCTAGGCTGTGCCAGTGCCCCAGTGCCACGAGTTGCATGCACCGAAACGAGACGCGTGACTCCGAAAAACTGTAAAGGAAGAATGTTGGCAGCAGCAGGAGCAGCAGCAGCAGCACCAGCAGCTGGAAGCAGCATCACATTCAGATTCATAATTTGCCACAATCAGTTGAAGGCAGCACGCCAAAGGCAACGCACGCTAACTCTTACGTCTCGCTTTTCGTTACTAACGGTATATTACGTTTTGACAGTGCTTACGCTTTCGTGTTCGTTTGTGTGTGTGCGCGTGTGTGTGTCCGTGTGCATGTGCGTGTGCGTGTGCGTGTGTGTAAGGTAAACGCATTAGCCATTAGGCGAGCGTGGCTAGCTTTAGGCCACGTTAATTGCGCACCTATCCCTTACACCCAAATACCCCCCCACTCCCGGCTCTGCCGCCCACACAATTAGCCAGACAATGAATTGGCTGTAAAGCCGCTTAGTGTATTATTCATCTATAAATTATTATCGCTTAATGCCAATTGACAGCTGAGCCACCATAAATAATATATTACAAAAAAATCAAATTTTTTGGCTCAAAGTAAAATTAAATATAAAAATCCAGTTTTGCAGTGCTCCATAGCTCTGGCAGGATCTTATCGTCAGCCTCAGGACGAAAAAAAAAGAAGCAATAAGAGACAATTCCCTGAAGTCGCTTGCTGGGGGATTCCCATTTGGGGAACTCTTGTCAGTCCGTTTCAATTTATCAGCAAAAATATCTTGAAAAACATCCAGCCAAACATTATTAAAATAACAGCAAAAAGATTTAAGCCTTTAGTGGCTTGTTTCACATACTCAGATTTTTCTGTTTAAGTGAATGATTAGCTATAAACTAAGCGTTTGAGTTCATATTTTTTAATATTTAAATAGTTTTTTTTTTTTTAATTATTCAACGAACAATATACTAAATTGTATGACAAGAATTGTTTTGAGTAGTATACTTAATACACCTTAAAAAATTCTTAAGAAACAATAAAAGTTGAGTTGATTAAATAAAACTTTTTTAAAAACTTAAAAATCATTTATATATATTTTATTAATTTGTGGGGATTTCGGTTTTCTATTATTTAATTATATGAAAATCTGAAAATTTGTGTTCAATAATACAATAAACTGAAATCGAAGAATATTTTATTAAAATGTACTAATTCAGCTTTATAAAAACAAAACCCATTTTTGCTAGAAATTTTTATGTTAAAAGAAACATTTTTAGTAATTAAAAAAAAAAATTAATTACTTTGAATATTGTTTTTTGTGATTATAATTGAATTAAAAAAATATATATTTTTTAACAACTTTTTTTATTCATACAATTTTGTAAGGTATACGAAAACTAATATAGATATGTATATAGAAACCTTCCTTAAATATCCGTAGATGGACATAGAGAATTTTAACAATCTATATTTATTTAGTATATACATCTGGTATATATTTAAAAGATGTTTACTATTTTCTATCTAATAATTATTTATTAGATAAAAGTTTTGATGAAAAAAGAGCAGGTTATGTTCAACGTCTACTTAAGTTTCGTTACTTTCAGTAATTCCTTGTGAAATATCCCATAAACTAGCTTAAAGAAGAGTTTATATTAAGATATCAGATAAATCAGCTTTTATTCAAATGCAGTCAAGCAGTAAATATGCATTTGTTTTTGAAGAACTGTATATAATAGACTTGGACCGATTTAAATAGGGCATTACTGTATATATATATTCACATTGTATGCAAGTCTTTTGCTTTGTTTTTTTTTTTTTTTGCCTTTGCAGTCTGTTGGGCGCGTTTCACGTTTTAATATTATCCCTTTTTGCATTTATGAAATATTCAACGTTTATACGCATTCGTGAGTCGCTCTCTCTCTCCCTCTCTTTCTCTCCCTCTCTCTGTCTCTGTCTGCGTCTCTATCGTCACAAATCTCTGCTCTTGCTGTTGCCACTCCTACTCTTACTCATCCAGCTGCTTGTTGAGGTCCTTGGCGACTGGCGGACAGCTTTGATGTTGTTGCTGTGGAGCTTAGCCTCAATGCCAAGAGCGTGTGTATATATTGACAATGTGGCCAGGCTGATACAATGTACACACACTCGCACACATACACACACTCACACACATAGCTGTCTGCCTGCCTGATTATCTGTGCCAAAAAAATAAGACAGCAACAAAATTGGCGCTGCGGCGCGAGGCTAAAGTTAAATCGAGCTGCCAGCCAGATCCGATTCTATCTCCAACTGCGGACTCCGAGCCAAAGTCATGTTTATATAATGGCGCGCAGAGCAACTATTAACTGCCTGCGAGTCGCTGGCTGCGTGCTGTTCCGGCTTCGTTTTCCCCCTTCCCCTCTCCCCTCTCCACTCACTCGTTCCCTCTCTCAGTGTGTTTGTTATTTATTGTAATGCCGCAACAGTCATAACACGCCCCCTTTTTATATACAGCCCTCGGGCCACAGCCCACAGCCCACAGCCCGCAGCAGTTTCCATCTTGGAGCAACCGCAGCTGCCATTAGATTTAATAAAGCAGCAACTGGAAAAGGAGTCAGACGATATCAGTTAGTTGCTCAGTTACGTTCGTAATTATCTAACTGTCTGTCAGAGATGAGCAACTCTTGGCCTGCCCTGACCCACCTCCGCTGCTTATCCACTCAAATGACACCAGCTGAAAATGTCACTTGTCGCTTAGATTCCACTTGGGTGAAATGGTATTCAAATTTAAGACAGCTTGAGAATCTTTGAGCTTTGTGAGTGAGATGTTTGAAAGCTATAATACGTTAAGACTTCTTATTTAATCAGAATATATGAATATAATGCTTAAAGGTTTGACAAACCCTCTAGATATTCATCTTGTAAAACGACATCCTAAAAAATATTATTATACATGATGATATTTAAGATACCTCAAGAAGCTTATCAAAACTGAGACATTAGGCAGACAAAATATAAAAGCTCATTAAAGCTGACACGATTACACGCTTTGCAAAAGCTTAATACACGCGTTGTAAAAGCTTTTTTATCTTAATATGAAAGCTTTACTTGTCTAGCATGTGGAACACAGTAAAATACGATTTGATTAAAAAAAAATCCTCTAAAAAACTCCAGACATCAACCCAAGCAGCTAGCAAAGCTCATTAAAACTTCATTGTATATAAAGAGAACTTAATGCAATCTAGGCGCTTAAGCTCAAGGAACACCTAACTAACTTAACTACAGGTAGTTAAGCTTCTTCTTCTTCTACTGCTGCTGCTGCTACTACTTAGCTGAATTAATCCAATTAGGCTAAGCCAAATGACAATAGATCTTCATTAGTAGCTGGCACAAATGCGCCTAATGAAAACTGCATAAAAAGAATCGCGTAGAATTTACGCCGTTAAACCAAAATGAGAATTAAGCTCAGCTGTCGCATAGATGTTCATTATGCTTATTATCACACCTGTATTGCCCTCTCTCTCTCCCTMACACACACACACACACGCACAGCAATTGTCAAGCAAATTTGGTCCAGATCCAATGCAAAGCGAGAAGCGATAAGCAAAAGACAGTCAAAACCAGCTAAAGGAGCTGTCGCTGCAAAGAAGAGCAAGGACAGCCGTAAAACGACGATAACAACAACAACAACAACAACGACGACGACGTCAACGTCGAGGACGAGCACGAGGACATTAACTTCATTTACGTCTCGCCACAGTTGAAATAAACGACTTTACGACACTGGCGGATTTGCTAAAAAGTAAGTTGAGCCACGCCCCAAGCCATGACAGCCGCCCCTTGGCAATCGCCAAATGGCACTTGGCCAAGCGATTTCTTTGCCGCATTTCTTACATTCTCGTTGCTTTTTTTTTTTCTTTTATACCTTTACTTTTACTTGCTTTCACCTGCCACAGGCTGCTGTTCATTAACGGCAGTTGTAGGTGGGCTGGGCGCCTTGCTGAATGATGTTAAAAAGCAACGCCAGCTGCCAGCAGCAACAACAACAACAACAACAACTTGAAACGAAGTCTACTCAGCGACTTCCGGAACGCGACGCCATTCACGTTGACCGTTGCGCCGGATGTGCCCAGAGTTTAGGCGTGCGTGTGTGTGTGTGTGTAAATGCGTGGGTATTTGACTTTGAGTTCGAGTTGAGCGAATTCCACAAATTCGCTTTGTTGTTGGCCATAAATGCTTGACATTATTGCAATTTGCTGTGCGTTAGCCAAACTATGCAGCTTACAATTTCTTCATTCTCTTTCTTTTCTTCTCTTTATTGTCCTCCTTTGCTGTTGGCAGATGCAAAGAAAAACTGAACAAACTCAATTAACAAGTCATGCTGAAGTCAAGAGATTGCAATCGAACTAGTTTACAGATTATTTAGCCATTGATAAGCTGATTATAACTAACTGATTGAGCGTGTAACTAGTTGATAATAGTTTCAGCAATTGATTCAATGTTCAATGATAAGTTGTCAAAGGGAAAATGAATATTTAATTTATTGACAGATTTACTGTCCCCCATTAAACATTATACAGGAATTTCAATGAAGCGTGCATATTTAAATGTCAACCAATTAGTATCAACAAATTTTATCGCATCATAAAATTGCAATAGAAATTTTGATTAATACCTTTTTTATTTTCTTTACAAATTAAGGAAATTATTAGTACTTTTTCTCTATATTCCCCAATTTGAAATTAGGAAATTTGCTTTTTAATTCCCTTTTAACATAAAGGAATCAAGAATTTAAAAATTCCCAGCTTAAGCCTCAACATCCATATGAAGGGAATTTTGCAATCCAGTTGGCTTATCTATCAAAACTCCCACTATTTCCACTCACTCTCTTATGGGATTTTATAGTTATTAAGCTCCAATTTTATGGCCATCAACTGTTTTGGTTTCGCTCTGCACGCTTTAATCCCGCTGTTTGGCCATGCACCGTTACTCATGCGCTCGCCCGCAGTGCTGATAACACAAGAAAAAACCAAAAGCGAAAAAAATAGAACACTTTGTTGGCATTTGCGTTGCATACTTTGCGGCTGCGCTGTAAGCGAAACCGAATGCACAAAATGCATTTTAGCCCGTTCGCCGGGCAAATTGCCGCGGGCACACACAAATCACGCAACACCCGCACAGCACAGCACAGCACACGCACACCAGCACACGGACACACACATACTTACACACATAGCAGCAGCAGCTGATGCATAAACATGCGGGGCAACTACTACTACAGCTCCTGCTGCTTCTGCTCCCACACCTGCTCCTGCTGCTCCTGTGGCTGCTACTCTTGCGGCATTTGACATTAAAGCAGCTTTGGGCTGCGCAAAATAGAAATATTAAAAGCTGCTACCTGTCTGCCACATGCCACATGCCACATGCGCGCMCCGTCACTGTGTGACCATGCAACCGACAACAAACATGTCACACAAATATGTGCCACATTCCACCTATCTCCACCTGCCACCCACCCACCTCTCTCACCTCATATAATCGCCACCCCCCCCCCCCCCCCCCCCCCCCCCCCCCCCCCCCCCCCCCCCAAAAAACCCCCCCCCCCCCCCCCCCCCCCC